TGGGGTCAGGATGTCCCATTAAATAACGAATCTGCAGTCTTGAGATAATATATACCCTTTAAAGAAAAAAAATTACTTAGATACCCAGCAATAAACCTATTTTAAAAAATCATATGACTTAAGTATATATAAAGATAAAGCTAGGTACAATTTCCTTTTGCTAGAACGCTTCTTCGCAACTACAAATCAGGACACATTTGCAGGTCAGCTAAGTGTGGAAAAGATCATGTTAGTCCATCTGGACGCACCACTCACCAGCATGGCGGCCCTGGGTGACGCAGGCCTGACAGATTGCAGCTCTGAATGCTGGCTTCCAGTGGGCGTGACTGAGCTGCTGTGTGAGGCTCCCTCCCCTCTCGCTCCCTGCTTCTCATGACTTCCTTGTAGTGTGCACAGGACTCCCCAGGGATCTTGTGAAGTGCAATACCAAGGTGCTGTGGTCGTTAACACACCCAGTTGGTGGAGTCCCAGGCTTAGCCCCAGGGACCGGAGGAGAGCGCTGGTGCGCTGAGCCTCAGCATGCTGGGAGCGCCCGGGCAGTCAGTCCACACGGGCAGCAGCACTTGGTCAGAAGACCATCAGTCAAATGGCTGAAAATATGGTTAGACTAATTTTTAAGCACCAACACTGCTTTTTTTCTTTGTTAAGGCAAACACTTAGGAAGTTAACCTGCGGAATCAGAAGCCTCCATCTGTAGCTTCTAGGAGAAAGGCCAGGACTGGAGAGAGCCAGTCATGGGAAGCATGCCCACATCTCTGGGTGGCACGTCCTCTCTTTGGGCCCGGCTGCTGAGCTGCTTGCTCATTCTTACAACTGGCGTCCTACCACTTGAGCCACACCTCCAGTCCTGCTTTTGATTTTTTAAAAAAAGAAATGAAGTTGCATGAGTTTTTCTGCCTGGGCTGGCCTTGAACCACAGTTCTTCAGATCTAAATCTCCTAAGTAGCCAGGATGACAAGCATCCAGCTTAGTTACCGCCTTTCTGATGCCAAGCCCCACTGAATGCTGTGTGGTGGTGATCTAAAGACAAAAGCCACACAGAGCACAGGGGCCAGCGGCTTCTGTGGGCAGTGGTCTTACCCACAGTGACCTCAGTGTTATTTACCCTGTGGACAGGTAGGCCACACCAGCTAGGACAGCATAAATCCCTTTGAGGGGACCAAGAATGGTACTCAGCCGTAGCGTACATGGTGGGCTATAGTGAGTACTCAGAGACTGGAGGAGAGTGAGAGAGTGAATGGAACCTTCATGTAGAGGGAGGGGAGATTCTGTGCTGGAATTCTGGCTCAGAAAGCCCGTGTGTCCTTGGGGTACCCTGGGGGTCTGTCATGTCCTGTGATAACTTTTTCTTAGTGACGTGATTGGGTAAATTTATGACTATTCCATAAGTAAAACCATTCCTTCTATGGAAAGAGTTATGTGAGCAGACGTGATGATTTTAATCCAGGCAGGTCACCCCCTCTCAGCATGCAGTGGTACTGCGGGCTTATTTGAAAATGATCTCGCTTTGGAGCCTGACACTCAGATGTGGTTGCTGAGGGTCTCTATGCCTGTCTGTCAGAAGGGCTTAGCGTTCATGGGAGGCTTGTGGGGCCGGGTGGGCTTCAGACTTCTGGCACCTGTGCAATCTTCGAATGCTGGGATTGCAGGAACACTGTCATCCAGAGAGATCTTGTAAGTAGAGTGAAGGAAAGCAGTGCAGTGAGTCCCGAGTCTTCAGTAGCTTGAGGTGAAATAGCAAAAGAAAGTTCCAGCGAGCATTGATCACGAGGCTCTATGGGTTCCATTTGAAGACCTGTTTGTTATGCTGAAATTAATGCTTTTGGTCAAAAAAGGGATTGAGATATCTGAAACAGTGTTAACCACAGACAATGAAATAATGTCCCCAGAGCCTGTGGCTCTGGGCTGGTCAGCATCTAGGACAGCTGGTTCCCCTGGGGTCTGGCCTGAAGGACACAGGAGATGTTCGCTGAGATGGCTTTTGTCTTAGACTCTGAATCCTCCTACAGCTGTGCTGCTTTGATCAGCAGACTCCCAACCCCTGTGCCTCTGCGTCCCCATCCCCACGCCCACAAGGACCTAGGACAGGCCATTTCCAGAGTGAGGCTGGTGTTTGCTGACAGCCAGAAATGGTGACTCCACCTGAGCACCTACAAGTGCCCACTCCTGCGTACACCGCACACTTCCTCTGAGTGTGAGGCCCTGGGGCATTTGCCCCACTACACAGAGTTCAGGAGGAGACAGTGCTCTATCGACTCACGATTACTGACTACAGACATTATATTTGCAGAAAGTGTGTATGTACATGCTCACTACTCAAACCCATGGGTCAGTCCAGGAATGGATGGCTACGAGACTGAGGAGACGGATGTCCCATCCCCAGCTCACACTGGCTCTTTCCTGCCAGCCAAGACTTTTTCTTTCTTTCTTTCTTTTTTTTGCCAGTCCTGGGCTTGAACTCAGGGCTCGGGCTCTGACCCTGAGCCTTTCTGTGCTCAAGGCTAGCACTCTACCACTTGAGCTATGTGGTACTGAGGAATCCAACCCAGGGCTTCATGCATGCTAGGCAAGCACTCTACCACTAAGCCACATTCCCAGTCCCCCAGCCAAGACTTTTGTTCCCCACTTACACCTCTCTCCCACACCCTGATTTTGTGCCCTGTATCCTGAGCCCCCTTCGCTTGGCCTGTCCCCCACCCCTTGACCCGCACGAGGTGGGCACCTCCTCTGTTAGACGGGCCAGCCTGCTGCCTGCTCTGCTGTCAGCACTACAGTCCCACTTCTGTCTTCCCTTGGGCCCTGTGACCTCCCCGTCCCCGGCATCAGCACCAGCGCTGCCATCCTGAGCATTCCTGATGCCGGTGACTGGACCCTCATCACCAAACTCCCCTCACCCGGTGTCTGGGGGTGAAGCTGCTTCGCTTCTGCACAGATTCCCCCCCCATTTTTGTTTCTGCTTCATCTCCTCCTCTTGGTCATGGGCTACACACTATCCTTTCTCTCCCCATTTCTTTCCACTCGCTACCCACCGCCACCGCGTCTGTCTGCAGTTCTGAACTTCCCCTGACCTTGTTCCTCCACCTCAGCCCTCAGAGCCCCTGCAGAAGGCCTTGCTCTGCGCTGGAATTCGTCTGTCTCTCTCCATTCCCATCACTGGCTCAGCTCCTTCCTGACCTTTCCATCGCCGCACCAGCCGCCCTGTGACTTCTTAGTCCTCCTACCCCTCTCTCCTTTCTCTCCTTACCTGGTCACGCTGATTCCTCACCATGCTTTCTCATGAAACCTGTGGCTTCTACCCCAGCCTGTTCTAGATCCTCCCCATCCTGAAGCCCTAAAACTGCAGGCCTACCCCCAAGCTGTTCCAGGAGCCCCAAGGTGCCAGCTGCTGTCACCCCCTTCCAGACCTCCCTTCACACCACTCCCTCTGGTTCTAGCAGACCCCGCGCAGCCTAGACATGGATCCTTGGGCAGGGAGGGCTCAGCACCTTCTTGTTTGCAAATTTGTGTAGAAGTATGAGCAGAAGAATAGAGGTGCGGCTCTGTGGTGGGACTGCCTAGCACGTGTGAGGCTCTGGATTCAGCCTTGTTGCTAAATTAATAAATAGAAAATGGAAGGAAGGTAGGTGAAAAATTATTTAGGGCTGGTAAAAAAAAACCCTACTACTTAGGCTGGGTGAAGGGAAACTTAAAATAGAGGTGTAGATCGTTTGGAGAAGCAAGCTGAGAAAGGAAATGGAGAATTTCGCGTAGGATAACTCAATCGGGAGCAGGCAGAAGGATGAGTTTGTACCAGTAGGTGGCGCTGTGCAATGCATTGGCTGATGGTTCTTTGGTCACTGAGTCTTTCTGAGCTCCTCTCCTGATTTCTAAGGGGATGATTATGAATGCTGTGAGCAGTAAATGAATCCTAAAACACTGTGCAGTGTTAGCACAGTTCCTTCTCTTGCTATTTGCCTCTCCCTTGCGAAGAGCGTTCTAGAGAGGTGCCCTCTCCCTGTAGAGGCCCCAACAGGTGCTGTAAGCAAGAGCCCTGCTGACCCTCCAGTGGGAAATCTGAACATGAAACACTTGCAGGAATGCATCAATAGACCAGAAAATGCATGTTAGCACCCACTGTGGAGGAGGATGGCAGGGTGGCAGGGCCGGACAAGGCAGCCCGTCCTAGGAGTGCTGATGGAGGAGAGGTTGCTGACAAGTGAGAGGAGGGAAGAAGGGGGAAGCTGGGTGAAGATGGGGAGGTGTGTTCTGAGATAAGGGAGCTTTCGCCAGTGCCCACGGCAGACAGTGAGAGGGCCCAGGAGTCTGGTGCCTTTAGGAGCCTGGGCTAGATGTTCACTACTTGGTCAGGGCGTCGGGTTCGCTCTTGTCTGTTCCATGTCCACAAATGATGCTGACCCTTGACCCTGCTTCTGACCCAATTCAGCTTTTGCAGAATAGCTCAGGCAACCATCACTGAATGCCTGCTCTGCATTTGTCTCACTGAGGTTGTGGTGTTGTTTTTTGGTGCTGGTACTAGGCTTGAACTCAGGGCCTGGGTGCTGTCCCTTAGCTTTTTCTCTTTACCACAGGAGCCATAGCTCCACTTCTGGATTTTTGCTGGTTAATTGGAGATAAGAGTCTCATAGACTTTTTTTTTTGCCCAGGTTAGTTTTGAATTTTGGTCCTCAGATCTCAACCTCCTGAGTAGCTAGCATTACAGATGTGAGCTATTTACTCTTTTTATTACTGGAGGACTCCCCTTGAACCTGAGAGCTAAGGATGCTGGAAGTGTCAGACATTCCCTTTTATTTCATCCATATAGCCAGTCAAACCCAGTTTCCTGTTGGAGATGAACTGGTTTGCCTCTTTACATGGGCTAGCTAGCTTATTTGAAGCTTTGGGCATCCTTGGAATTGTTGGGAGAGGATTGAGGAATGAGTCTGGGGAAGGATCACATTTGGTATAGCTGTGCAGACTGGCTTCTGCATTTACACTGAAAATTCCTTCTTTTTTTTCTGCAGGGAAAAGTGGAAGTAGAAGCTGGGAAAGAAGGTATGAAGTTTGAAGCGAGCGCTTTTTCATACTATGGTGTAATGGCCCTCACAGCCTCTCCAGGTGAGCTTGGTTCTCTGCCTGAGGACAGGGCACACTTTAGGAAACTGTCTTTATCTGTCAGCTTATTTATTTATTTTTTGAACTTTCAATCAATGTACGTCATATACAAAACTATACATATACACAGACAAATACAGATGTGTACTTATGACTACACATCTCCTTAAGTTTTCACATAATGGACATAGCCCTGTAAATAAGCAGCCAGAAGGAGAAGCAGAGTGACACCAGCCCTCCCCTCCCATTTTCCCCTGTCACTGTTCCCCAAAAGGAACCACTGCATCTTCTTGGACTTTATAGAAATGGATTTACATAGAATACATTACTGAGTCTGGCCTCTCCCCTCAGCAGTGTGTTTGCCAGCCATCTGTACTGTGTGGTGTTAGATTCTGTTTCCTCTCACTACAGTGCAGTGGTGTACATGCGAACGCCATGCTGTGTTGATCCTTTCTGTTGATGATAGACATTGGGCAGTTTCCTGTTTGCGGCTACTGTGGCAGATGGCCATGCACATTCCCGTACCTGGGTGTTGGTGGGCACATGTATGTTTCTGTTGGTGGTTGGGGTGTGTGTACCCTTCACCTTTGGCAGACCCTGCTCAGGTGTCTGCCATCCAGCACTTGAGTCTCAAATATGAGCTGTTGTGGAGTTTTCCTTAGGACCTGCAGCCTGATCTCCTTACCTGGAGAGCTGGCCTCTAAGGGTGGGTATGCCTGGGGGGCTGACTGTTCTCTGAGCGGAAGATGCCAAGATGCCAGCAAGGTGCTCTAGAAGGAGTGCAAACCACACCTGTTGTTCCCTTAGCCTGGGGACTTCAATGTCTCTAGGCCTTTGCTTACCTTACCCTGGTAGCAGCAGGTCAGACAGGTAAATGGAGGTGCTACAGTGCCACCTTGTGGCCAAAATACCAAAGGGCATGCCATGCTAGGAAACAACCAATCGCTAAACTAGCTACTTTACCACCTTAAAGGGTGGTGACCCTATGAGGGACCCCAGGGATGTGCAGTGAGAAAGTCAATGAACCGTCAAGACTTCTTACATTTTAAACCTGTTTCACCCAAGATCCATCTTCTCGCTCTCCAGTGTAGATATCGGAGTTCTGTGCCCACAGAAGCCCCATTGTCCAGGGCAGCCCAACACTTAGAACAAACCTGGGCCCCGACCTGCTATAAATTTAAAGATGATTTTCCATTTCCACTGCTTATAACACTGGCGAAGGGGGAATTTTGTAACCAGGCCCAGGAAGACCCAGGCCCAGCCTCAGTTCCATTACATGCAGAGTGCATGACATCAAGAAGAGCCCTTGGATTCCTCTTTATTAAGAGTGTATAAAGTTGGGTGTTCATAGCTCAAGCTGGGTGCTGGTGGCTCACACCTGTAACCCTAGCAATTTAGGAAGCTGAGAATCTAAGGATTGCAGTTCAAAGCCAGCCTCAGCAAGAAATCTGTAAGACTTATCTACAATTAACTACCAAAAGACTGTAAGTGGCGCTGTGGCTCAAGTGGTAGAGAGCTAACTTTGAGCAAAAAAGCTCAGTTGGCCAGGCACTGGTGTCTCATTCCTGCAATCCTAGCTACTCAGGAGGCTGAGATCTGAGGATCGCAGCTCAAAGCCAGCCCAGGAAGGAAAATCCATGAGACACTTACCTCCAATTAACCACCAGAAAACCAGAAGTGGCACTGTGGCTCAAGTGGTAGAGCACTCACCTTGAGCTGAATAGCTCAGGACAGCGCTCAGGCCCCAAGTTCAAGCCCCAAGACCAATTAAAAAAAGAAAGCTCAGTTGATAGCACCCAGACCCTGAGTTCATGCCCCAGAACTGGCATACATTCACACCCACAAAGTATATAAAACACATGTTGTAATCCCAGCTACTCAGGAGGCTGAGACAGGAGGACATTGTTTTGAGGATAACATAAACATAAAAGTCTCCATCTCTAAAATAACTGGCAAAAAGTTGGGTTAGAGAAAATGACTGAAGTGATAGAGCACCAGCTGAGAAGCAAGCTAAGCAAGTGAAAGGCTGAGTTTTAAATCCTGGTGCTGGCACAAGACAAAATAAAAAACAAACAAATGTAAGAAAAACCATTGTCTAGCAAAAAAGTATTATAGTTGTAACTGTTTTGGTAACCTGCGTGAAATTAGACCCACGTTAGAACCAGATCTATAAGATGGTAAGTTATCCACTTGTATTGATAATGAGTTTTTTGGCTTTGTTTTATTTTGCAGTTTGAAGTTAGGGCTTTGTACTTGCTAAGCAAGCACTCTACCACTTGCGCCACTCTGCCAGGCATTTTTGTGTTGGTTATTTTTTGAGGCAGGGTGCATGCTCAGGCCACTCTGTTCTACCATCCATTATTTGTGCGTCCTCGTGTCTCTCAGATCACAGACGCATCCCACAATGCTCAGACACAGCCATGGTATCACTCTCTGGAACTTTTTCACCTGATCTGCTCTTGAACTACACTCTTGAGCTGCCTCCTAAGTGATTACTAGTTCTTTAAACCTAAGTATTATCTCAATTAATATTGAACTGCAGTGAGAGGACCAGTCCCCTTGGGAGACAAGCCCGAGTGCTAGCTGCGGCTTCCTGCTCCTCCTTTGAGGCTGCCCATAGAGAAGCACAAGCTCATTCATGGCATCTCCACGTGGTGTTTACTCCAAAGCCAAATGCTTTCTTTCCCTTTGCAACTAGGATCTGAGATTCTGTGGTTTAACATTGAAAGGTGCAACCGCACAGGTGTCCATTTCTGCTTATGAAGCTTAGTTGGATAGCCAGAAAACCTGACTCCTGCCCAGCATTGCCTGGCATGGGAGGTGCCCTGAGTGGGGCCACAGCTCCCTTCGAGTCAGCAGGGAAGTCAGTGAGCTTGGCCAGCCAAACTCAGGGAAGCTCGACACGACATTTCCCTTTACTTTTGCAGTTCATGATCATTTCAAAGCAATTCGATGCGTCACGTAAAAATGTCAAGACTTACAATGTCAGTGTTCTGGAGAACGTGTTGGTTGCCACTAATGGGAGCACTCCCTGTTGGGCAGAGAACGAGTATTGGGGAGTGGCTTGTGTCATGGTCTTAGACCAGGTAGGAGTTGAGTTCCCCTTTTGCGTGGCTATTTGTGATTAGATCCTTAAGAAGAACACATTTTGGAGCTGTGAACCCCAATGGGTATTCATGGCTTAGGAACATTCTAGGCTAGTAATAGCTTCTGAATGGGATTTCCCCAGCCGTGGCCACTCTGTCCTGCTCTTCCTGGAAATGGTGTGCATACTTTTGTAGCTTCTAGAATGTCACTTCTGGGATGGAAGGCTTACATGGGTAAAACAGGTCTAGCTCCTGTCCCTTGTATGCAGAGATCTTCTGCCTTTCAATATGGTCTCACCCTGTTTTTCTCCATTTTTCAGTTCCTTTGTCCCTGTCTCGTACCTTTGTTGTCAGCAGAACAGAGTTGTTAGCCGCAGGCTCTCCAGGTAACTCTGCATGTTTCTTTTTCATAATTCCCCTGATTGCCAATACTTGACCCCCCAGGAGCCTGGCTGGCCAGGTGTGTGCCTTCTATTTGGATAAGACTGTGAGCCCTAAAACTCTTTAAGATTCTCTCTGACATATCAGAGAATTTTAAGATTCTCTGACATGAGAGAAAGCTCTCCAGGAAAGCATAAGCTACCGCAGGTGCAAGAAGGATTTAGAAGGTTGAGGAGGAATTGTGGGACATGAGCAATGGCAATGGCGAGCGAGAGAGAGCGAGAGTGAGAGGGAGGGAGGAAAGAATGGCTGTCCCAGATGATGAGGGCCTCTACCCAACCCACCTGCACCACGCACCTGGAACTGTCAGCCAAGGGAGGTGGCTGCAGAGGGTCTTTTTCTGACCTTAGCAAGCCACAGGGTAGGGAGTTTGCAGGGATGCTGAGGGCCTCAAAACCTGAGACTAGAACACACTCATCTTTTGTAGAAAGCGTTTGGCCAAAAGCCTGAAGGACTATGAACTTTTCCTAGCAAGCAAAAGAAAATAGCCCTCCACAGAGGCTGACAGCCTTCCTGCCTCTTGGTCTTTCTGCAGCCTCCATGTGCACGAGGGCATGCATTTCTGTCCTCCACCAGACAGGTTTCCCCCCTCTGCCCCCCCTCCCCCGCTTGCCCCGTCTCTTTTTTCAAGTTAACTGTGCGCATTCCTAACCAGCTGCTGATAACCATGGTGCAGGAGAGTTCGCCGTGCCTTGCTAATATGCCCCTTTGTGAAAAAGAAAGGGGAAGCACTAATCTTTCTTTAATTAAAATTGCCGGGCTTTCCTATTACAGAACTACTTTTCTGTATTGATTTAGTGTAATACAGCTTATGTTTCTAAACCTGACTGATGAAATTTGCATTTCTTAATTTAGTTTCAGTGAAACTACATCCTGCTGACAGTAGGCAAGTCTAGTCTTAGAGAGGAATTCATGTCCCTCAAACCCTTGCTTTTAAAGTTAGGGATGTTTGAGGGGTAAGAGAGTTTATTGGAATCTAACCAGCCAGCAGAATACATGTGTATGTACACACATACATATATACACATATACATACATGCTGTGCATGTATGGGCTTATATGCTCTTCCCCCATTGTATTTGCTTGTATCTGCTTCCTATTTAAGCTGGGTGCTGGTGGCGCATGCCTGTAATCCTAGCTACTCAGGAGGCGGGGCTCAGGACCACAATTCAAACCCAGCCTGGACAGACAAAGCTGAGAGACTCTTATCTCCAATGAACCAGTGAAAAGCCATTAATGGAAGCAAAGCTCAAGTAGTAGAACACCAGCTTTGAGCAAAAAAGCTAAGCCTGAGCTTGAAGCCAATAAAACAAACAAACAAACAAACAAACAAAAAAGCTCTAGTTTCTACTTTAAAACGCCAAGATGCTGAAGTAGCTGACTTTGGATTTGTATTTTACACTCCCCATTGAATGGAGAAATGTCTTCGCTCTGCCTGCTGCAGCTGATCCTGTAATCACCATCTGCTTTGCTGCGTCTCGCCCACAGGCGTGGCCGTGATAAGCTTTCTCACTCATGGGGGACAGATCCAACCGGTCATTTGCAGCCTCTTCTGGAAGGTGCATTTTGGCTGGAGACTGGGAATGAATACCTGTCAAAAGGAAAGGGTTTCTAGGCAGGATGCATAAAATAAGGTAGGACAAAAAAAAAATAAGGCAGGGGAAAAAATAGACAAGCAGTGCTAAGGTGGCAGAGAGGAATCAAACCAAAGTTTTCTTATTATTGTCATAAAATCTTGATCCATAAATTTGGCAACCACGTAGGAGCTGAGCTGGTGGCGGGCAGTGCATTGAAGCCCCGGGGTGTGTCCCCCACCCGCCATGCTGGAGACCCACCATACTGGAGATGGGGTCCTACAAAACAGAGGTGGCTGCTCCAGGCTGTGATTTTGGGCAGTGGTCTTCTGGCAAGGGAGAGGGTCCCACTCCCCAAAGACACGCCAGCTGGGGACCCAGCATGCAGGCCCTCAGGTGGCCAAGCGACAGAGAGCCTCTGGTTTCTTTCTCTTAAACCTTCACATTTGAACATGTAGACGTCAAATGAACACTGTTCGAAGTTATTAGGAGAAATGGCGATGGGATTTGTGGCTGACCCCCAGAGGAGCAGTGGCCTTGCTTGCTTCTAGGAACTGATGGATCTGCCCTGACGGGGGGGGGGGGGGGGGGGGGGGGGGGGGGGGGGGGAAGGGCCGAGGGGATATTATCGCCCTGGGAAAAGGCCTGGCCCCCTGGGGCGGGCACATACATGGTGGCTGGATTTGGAAGGATGCTCACAGGAAGGGATAGAAAAGGTTAGCATAAACTGGGGGCTGGTGGTTCATGCCAGCCCAGGTAGGAAAGTCTGAGAGACTCTTATCTCCAATAAACCACCAGAAAACTGGAAGTGGCACTGTGGCTCAAGTGGTAGAGCGCTCGCCTTGAGCTGAAGAACTCAGGGACAGCGCCCAGGCCCAGAGTTCAAGTCCCACGACCAACAAAAAAAGAAAGAGAGACAGAGACAAAGACAGAAAGACAGAAAGGAAAGAAAGGAAAGAAGGAAGGAAGAAAAAAAGGAAGGAAGGAAGGGCAAGGAAGGAAGGAAGGAAAGAAAGGAAGGAAGGAAAGAAAGGAAGGAAGGAAGAAAGAGAGAAAGAAAAGGTTAGCAGGGTGCATTTCTGGGCGTGTGCTGGTATCAGATGCTGCACTAAGCACTGCACGTGTTATCTTATTTTGAACCCTCAGACCTTATGAGGTAGGTGTGCACTTTACAGATAAGGAATTCATAGCTTAGCAAAGCTGGGTCACCTGTTCAAAGTTCCCTTGTGCTAAATATACAACACAGATCAATTATTACTGTGCCTTGTTCTCTTAGGAAATAAGCAGAAGCAATAGAGGAACTGTCACTCAGTTTAATTTTGACTAGCCGTGGAAAACTAGTTCATAAAATGACAGATGTAGACACGAAAGTTGTGATGTGGAACTCAGGAGAAATTAAATTCATCATCTGAGAGTCCTAGAGTGCTGATGTTTTGGCCCTAGTGTTTATTTTTAAATTCAGAGTTTCTTTAAATAAAGTAAATCTCACTAGTAGTATTCTCATCATTAAGTAGTTGTACAAAGGGATTTCAATTCAACATGTCAGTTTCGAGTACAATCATTCTCCCTGCATCTCTCCCAACTCCACCCTCCTCTCAATTTCCCTGGCTCTATTCTACATCTGAACATCAGATATTATGACTTTATCCTCTCACCCTTCCTCTCTCCACTCATCTGTCCCCCTCTCCTTGGCTGCGTTGTATGTTGAGAGGGACACTTAGCGTATGGGGTTTAGATGGCATTGGGGGAGGGGGAGCTGATGGTTGGTGATACATGTGAAGAACAGCTGAGTGACAGCCCTCAGGAGAACACAACACTTTGCAAATGCTTAAGCAGAGGGACACCTGCTGCGCAAGCTGCATGGTGGGGCTCATGGAACGGAAGGGACACTAGACTGTCACTTGAAGTTAGGGAAGTAGACTCTGAATGACACTAGGCTGCTATCGATGGATACGACCAATATGCTGGCTACTCTGTGGGAGAATGTTTACTCCTGTGACGCTACACAGTCCAGGACCTGTATGGTGTGGGCACCTGGTTTATATCTGTGCAAGAGGGTTGTTTATAAAAGACAAAAAAATGGAACTAGTGCCAGTGGCTCACACCTGTAATCCTAGCTAGTCAGAAGACTGAGATCTTGAGGATTGACGTTCAAAGCCAGTCCAGGTAGAAAAAGTTGTGTGATCGAGTCTGTCTCCAGTTTACCAGTAAAATGTGGACTGGAGATGTGGTTCCAGTGATTAAAGTGCCAGCCAAACAAATGCAAGACCCTGAATACAAACATTCAGAGCCTACAATGAGCCAGGCGCCAGTGGCTCACGCCTGTAATCCTAGCTGCTCAGGAGGCTGAGATCTGAGGGTCACAGTTCAAAGCCAGCCTAGGCAGGAGAGTCTGTGAGACTCTTAGCTCCAATTAACCACCAGAAAACCAGAAGTGGTGCTGTAGAGCCAGGAAGCGTAGATGCAGCACAGCTCCTTTCACTGTCTCACTGAAGAGACGCAGGTTCTTGGCATCTCCTTGCGGCCCCATAGCCCCACGCACAGTGAAGGCCCTCACAGAGCAGAGCCGTAGGCTGCCTGCATCATGGCCAGACCAATGTACACTGTTGCTGGCGACAGGACAGGGTGTGTGCTGGGCATGTGTGAGATGGCCCCGCATGGCCAGCTGTGGGGCTGACCGGGCTGTGTGCTGATTATTATTTTTCATTTGAAAACAAAAAAGAAACAGCTCACTATTGGCTATAGCATTTCAAAGGGGGTTTCTTCCTTTTCTAGGTGAAAATAAGTCCCCTCCTCGCCCGTGTGGCCTGAATCACTCAGACTCTCTGAGTCGAAGTGACCGGATCGACGCGATGCCCCCCTCGCTGGGGAGCAGCAATAACCAGCTCAACTCTTCCTTCCTGCAAGTCTACATCCCCGACTACTCGGTGCGGGCCCTTTCTGACCTGCAGTTTGTCAAGGTAAGTGGAGAGAGGGTAGCTTGGCTGGACTCAGTAGGTAGGTAGATGGCCCACTGGCCCTCCAGGCCCTCCTCTCCGTTTATCCTCCATTGCTGGGATGTCACCAGGGGGCGCTGTCCCCATCAGCTGGGTCCAGGATTCAGGCTGGGAAGCACAGGGTTTTCTTGACTCAGAGGTCCAATGAGCAGCCTTTGGAAAAGAGCCGCCCTTTCTCCAACAGTTGTCCTGAGCCCATGGCCAGTGACTCCAGCCAGGTTGGCTTGGAGCCACGCCATGGCTGCGGAGGCTAAGCCTCCGGCGAGGGCTCGGAGAAGCTGTTTCTTGCCTTCTGTCCAAGAGACGGGATCTTTTCTTAGTCTGAATTAAAGATGTCTCTTGGAGAATAAGCGAGGTGGAAGTTCATCTCCATTTCCTAGTCTGACATTGGGAGACAGAATTTGGAAATGGTTACATCATTAAGAACCGACTTGTCTGGCAGAATCAACCTGAACTTGGCTCCATTTCTACTCAAGGATGATTGTGTCCTAGAGAAACTTACACACCTAACCTTTAGGGGGTTCGTGTGTAAGAGTAGAGACGAGAGAGCCTAAAAGTAAGCATTATCTTGGTTTGTTTTCTGTGTCATCTTCCGGCCTCAGATCTCCAGGCAGCAATACCAAAATGCCTTGATGGCATCCCGGATGGACAAAACTCCTCAGTCTTCAGACAGTGAAAACACTAAAATTGAATTGACTCTTACGGAGCTGCATGACGGGTTGCCAGATGAGACAGCCAACTTGCTCAATGAACAGAACTGTGTGACTCACAGCAAGCCCAACCACAGCCTGCACAATGAGGGTGCCATCTAGGGGTGCCCTGAGGGCCCTCCCCACCCCCCGTGGAGGCCCGGCCTCTGCCCCACCACAACTTCCATCCGTGCGAACTTGTCTGCCATGCTGCGTCCGGCACCATTCTGAGACCAAAGACTTTGCTCCCTTCCCGGAGGCCTCGGCGGAGGACAGCACAGGGAGGGATGGAAACTAGAAGCGTGACACCGATGGTTCGGTCATGGCATTCAAGAGTCTGGAGACAAACTTCTTCCGCCCAAATAGAATCATGTTTATTTTTTCAGCTGTACCTTTTATCATTACTCTCCTCCCTCGATTTGCATGAAGGTGAAAATCGTGGCGATTTATTTTTTCAAGAGATCGTGTTTTTTAAAAGTGTCTTTTTGGCAGAGTTTCAGGTTGTTCTGGTTGAACTCTGCTGTGACCCTATGATATGACCCTAACAGGATGGACTTGTCCCCTCCAGTGGCCTTCCTTGGCCCTCCCCGGAAGGGACAGCCTTCTTCTGGGCCCCAGTGGGTGTCGCTGTGGAACTTGATGGATGAATGAAGAAAACCATGTCACTTCAGAACCCGCCAAGTCTGTCGTCAGTGTGGGGTGTAGGCTGCAAGAGGGACCTGCGGTCTCAGGTCTGCGTTCAGTGTTGTTCTGAGAATTTAATGTTTAACCATTCCCTTTTCCCCTAGGAAAGTTTAACATTTGCTTGGGAATGTGATTTTTTTTTTTGCTCCCACCCTAAGGAATTTCGATCACCCAAATGAATGTTAATGAATTTGAAACCCATGGTTTATCATTGGCAAGAAGCAAGTTGACTTCATCCTGGCATTCCTCCAGCCTGGGGTGTCAGCTCAGTCAGCCCTCCTCCCCCGCAAGCCCGGAGCACAGGTGCTGGTCCCCACCGCCCACCCGTGCTCTTGCTAACCCAAGATGCTGCTACACAGATGCCAAATGGAAACTTTCCACAGGGCTCCTTGGTAAACACGGGGTATGGAGGCCACCCGCCCCCTCCCCCTTTCCCCACTGGGTATGTGTATTTATCAGAACAGGTGGGCTCTGTCCTCTGGGCTGAGAGGGCATTTCTAGATCTATGTTTTTAACGGAGGGAACTTTGGGACTGCCAGTCCCTGCCTTCCAGGGAGCCAACTCTCTCTCTTCCCCTCTGTCCCTGGGTAGCGGAGCCCAGCAGGGCAATGCCCCCTGGTCCTCCTGTCTCGGATATGACTGATGCCAGAGGCTGCCAGAGAGAAACCAAATGTGTGCAGTGGCCATTTTCTGTGCGTCTCCTTGTCTTACTTTAATACCAGATTCACCCTGTATAGTGAAATTCCTATCCACAGGTATTCTTGAGTGACTGAATTCTTAACTAGTTGATCCGTGTTTTAAATGCGAGCCAAGGGATAGAGTCATACACTGAAATGAATTCCTTCTGACCACAGTGTTGGCTAAGGATTATCTCTGCCCACTGTAGCCAGTTACTGGCTGAAAAGAGAACATTCCTGCGTTTGCCTGCAGCTTCATGGGCCCACATGATGGGCTGGCCTCCTGGTGAGCAGTTTGGTTAATCTGGATACTGTGAGGGAAGGGAGGTACAGGGGATGGAACCCAGGGCCTTGCACACCTCTGGGCTATACCCCAGTCCTTGGTTTGATGGATCTGGTGTCACATACATTAACTTTGTGCCCTGGATTGTGTCCCTAAAAAGGGGGCCATGCCCCTCAGTGCAGAGAAACTCGTCTCCCTTGGTGATAAGTCACAGGACGTCCCTTCTAAAGAGGCCGGGTGGGCTGCTGCTGCCGGGGACAGAGCTGGTACCATATGGCATGAGTCTAGTGGGACCCTATCCCATATCCCCTTTACACAACCTTTACACAAGTGAGCGTGTGTTCTCTAAGCAGCATCTAGTGGACATGAGCCCCTTGATGATGAGCCTGGCTGGGGCACTGGTCTCTCCTCCAAGCCGCCACCCTGGCCCAGCATTATTTGCTTTCCCTGGGGTGTGAGAGCCAAGTGGCTGAGCTGAGCTGAGATCCTCTGGCCTTGGGACTGTCAGCCACTCGGGCCCAGGGCTGTTCTCCATGCACAGCTGTCTTGGTGCCGTGTGCTGCTAAGAGGAATCATTGGAAGAGGTCGTGTGTTGCTGTTCTTTCTCAGAGCTCCATTCTTCCTTCACAGACTCAAGAGAGCTGGGAGGCTGGTCTGTGCCGCGCCTCAGCTGCTGCCTCTCTGACATCAGAACTCCTTAGTGTCCCTGCTTAGGGTGGTAGCTTCTTGCCAAATGTTCTCTTATAAAGGAGCTGGCAGGGTGGCTTTGCAATGGGGCTCCCAAAGGATGAAGATTATTTAAGCCTGCCAAGTTTATGTTCATTTCACCTTTTGATTCTTCGCACTGTATTATAATAGGGACTCCAGCATAGTTTCTGTGCAGGCCCTGAAGGAATGAAGGCAAACATTTGGCTGTAATGACACTTGCTCAGGGGACAGCTCCAGACCCTCCTTTAACATTTGCACTGGAGCCATCAGGTTCCTCTCCTAGGCCACACTGGCCCTCGGCCAGTGGACCCCTCAGACCACTGGAGGAGGAGAATGGCATTGGCTAGGAAAGCCTATGTCCTTCATAGTGGTGAAACCCATTGGCAGAGCCAAGACTGCAAGTAGTTGAAGTCTCCGTATGCAGTTAACTGCCCCGCCCCCAGCAGCTCTGGCCAGATTGTCTTCTCCTGGGTTGCATTTAAGGGGCTGAGGAGGGCTGGGTTGGCCAGGATCAGGCCCAGGAGACCCGGATACTCCTGGAAGACTTCCCTTGGGCCACTGCTGCCAGCTCTGGCTCTGTGGGGTGGGAGCAGCCACTCTGGCATTCCTAGTATCCAGACACACATTCCCAGGACACTTTGGCTTCTCTTTATAAATGAAGGAGCCTTTTTCTTACTGCCTCAGAGGATCTTTCCATTGTTCTGTATTCACAGGCAAGTCCCAAACCATCTATTTAAGCTCTTAGGAAAACAGATCCCTGATGATATTTATACATGGATATGGGGTGCTAATTAACTCATAAGTGATTTGAACTTGAAAGGATGCCCCATATAATTCTGTTCTCCCTCCCCCCTCACTCCCAGTAAGCATTCAGTGCCCTCTGGGCATGATGAGCTTCCCCAAGTGGAAGGAGCTGGGCATCACACCACTTTCTTGTGTTATTTCAAGGAACTCGTGCAGAACTTCACACTGATATGGAACACTAACTGTGAATAGATTTACCTTGCTATCCCTGGCTCTCTCTATACAACTAAAGAACCAGCATTTCCAAGTCTTGGGAGATAGTGGCAGATACCAACACAAATTCATTTCTCCTAGGAAGTGGAACATAGTTTGAGCAAAGCAGGGACCATGAACTTCTTTCCTCAAGTTCTTCAGGTTGAAGAGCAGACGTAGGTAGGTGCTGGCGACTGAGCCCCATGACCTTCTGAAGGCTGCAAGGATCTGTGCCATTTTCTCCATTCCTGGATCCAGGGACTAACGTCTCCCCAGGAGTGAGGCCAGGCAGATGAATCTTCTGGACTGGTGCAGAAAAATGCTTACCTTGTCCCCAGGCTAGGAGGGCTTGGCTTGCATAGTGCTCTGTGTAACCCATGCTCTGCTGGCTTATTCCAGCCAGGATTTTCTTGTGAAGGGATGAGAAAATGTAGCAAATCTGGCACTTGTTGTACTCCCTTCTTAAGGAAACAGGCTCGTGGGCCACGCTCCCTTCCTAGGCCACATTTGCTTCCATTCTGGGCTGTGTATTAGTGGTGCTTCTGTCCAGTAATGGTAACTGGATCTGCTGTAGGATAAGCCAGAATTAGGAATTTAGAGAGCTGAATATGAAAATGACTTGGAGGATTCAGAAACTTTTCTGATACAGATCTATCAATAAGCAACTTATTCAGTGGGTTTTTAATACCTCAGGTCCATTGTCTGATTTCTTTCACATTTGAGTGGCTGATGAGTTCAGAGATGTCTAGGCTGAAGTTCATTTACTCCCATTTGAGGGATGAGTCATGTCAAGGCCACGCCTGCTGGTAGAACGGTCCCACAGGTGGGCCTGCCTTCTCCAGGATGCGTGCTGTCTGCAGCCAATACCTATTTGCTAGTCTTCTGACTCTTCCTTTTCTCTGAGCATTCACATTCCAGTCCTGGTCAGCTGGCCGGTCGCAGCACCCGCAGAGCAGGCGCCTCCGCCCTCCTGCTGCCTCTGGTTGGGGATCTTTGCTTCTCCGACCTTGATTGGCTTCGCTCGCGTTAACCTTCCCGTGTGCCAGAGCCACCATCTCAACTAGAGTTGTTTTTTTTTTTTTTTTAATGTTTTGATGGGAAATACCAGGTGGTACTTTGAGCAACATAGAAATGAAGGTTCTAGAGGGGGCTCAGGTTGTATGTGAAGCAAAACAACACCCTCTACCCCTGCCCCAGTACTGTGGATTGACCCCCCTGCTAGCACATGCCAGGCTAGCACTCTTCCAGCCACCCCTCCAGCCCTGTGAAGGTTTGTATTTACACAGACCCCATACATAGCTAAGATTCACAATTTTCCAGGATATAATATCCATTGGGACCATGTTCAGATGAGGATGACAGAGTACTGTCTTGCCTCACTTAGAAGGGGACCCTGTTCTCATACCTGACCCACATGGGTTTGTTTGGGGAGGGTGTGCAGATTCCTTCAGCTTCATCCTGAAGAGACCAAAGGGGCTTGGAGGATTGCTCCTTTGGTTGGAGACTTAAGATTTCCTGAGTATAAACAGCTGGTGTCCCAAGCCCCCAGACGGAATGAGAAAGAGGCCTAGGTTCTCACCCCCTAGAGCTTGTCTAGCTGGTCCTTACTCCCCACAGCTGGTCTACTGTGAAGGTGGAATCTTCAATCCATTGACTTTGTTTTTGCAGTCCTTTTAATCCACAGATGTATATGCTTTATTTTATATTATTTATTATGTACATAGTCTCTATTGTTAGTATATCATCTGTTAACCTAAGATCTGTTTTGAAGCCCTTCATCCATGGAGCCTA